GGAAGCTGGGAAGGGAAGGCAAAGAAATGAAGAAAGTGTGTGATTTCCGGCAAAGTGCCTTGTGTTCAGCGGCATCAATGATGCTCTTGTGATAAGGAGGACCATGGGCTCAGGCTTCCCCGTGGCTAAGATGAAAGCAGAGAGGGAATATCAGGACAGCAGCGGCAGGAACACAGCAGAGTTCAGAGAGCAAACGAGATGGAGCTGGAAGGGCCTGGCAGGGTGGCAGCCCCCATGGAAAACAGAGGGAAGGCCAGACAGAGGTCGCATCAGCTGTTGGAGTGAACAAATGAGGAAGAGAAGAGACAGCGGGAGATTGAGCTAGAATCTTAGCTAGAGAGCCATGAGGCATAAGTGCATCTAAGAGCCAGCGATGTGATTACCTCAGTACCCTCAGCTGAAGGCTGGGGAAATTGCATGTTATCCTCCACTTGTTGAAGAGCAGTTTTCTTTTGATAATCTTCTGTTTCTGGGCACTTAAGGCAGCTGAGCCCTCAAGAGCATCACCCTCCAGCTTGGGAGGTTTCTTTCCTCTGAGGGAAGCATCGAAACCCAGTCCTGAAAAATAAAACCACAGCCAACAGGATCCATTGTTATTCATGATCGTACTGGGACTTAATCCTCCACCCAGGAGGGACATCAAATAAGCAGAGTGGCCAGAACAAGAAAGGCCACTGAAAGTCCATGGGTGAGGTGAGGCCAATGGCGACACTTTCATATTTTCTCTTTCTTTGATCTTACTCACACTACCCAGTAGTGATGAGATTGCCAGGAGGTGTGGGAGAGGCCCATCACCTCCCGGCTCCCACCCTCTGACGACTAACAATGGACCAGAGCTTCGTATTCCCCTTTTCTCTCTCACCTTGGAAGAGCGGCCACTGATTTCTGAAGGGACCGTGGGCTCTAAAGCTCCAGGTGGTGGAGCAAAGGCCAAGCCTGGCTTTGCCGTCACCACAGTCCAACTGGTCCAGCTGCAGCAGCAGATAACTGGTCACCTGGGTGCCTGGCTGCAGCTGTGTCTGTGAAGCTTGCAGCTCTGGCCTTTGGAAACTCCAGTTTGTCCTCAAAGGCCCTCGGTGACCGGCCTCCAGGGTGGGAGCTGAAAGGAGAAGAGGGCTCAGTGGGACCAATCCCAGCTTTCCTTTCCTCAGCCCTGGGAGCCCACCCATTTCTAATGTCCATGTCTGTCAGTGAGACCACCCAGCGACCCAAAGAAAAAAGGCAGACCTCATGTACATGAAGGAGCTGTCAGCTTCACGTGTGTCCCTGGGGATGCTGAGATGGCAGGTGACAGGATGCAGTGTCCCAGAAGTGAGAAACCCACTGAGTCCAGAGGACTTTGGATGGAAGGATGAAGTCATGCCTGTGAATCTGTTCTCATTAACTTAGTCCTATAGCTTAGAGAGAAGGTTCTAGAGAGGCCTTAGGACACGGGGGAGAAAGCGATGTTGATGTGTACCCACAGTATAAAAGAACAGGGAGAGAAGTACGGCCACAAGTCTTCAGGGCCGGTAGAAGACACAGTTGGGAAACCGTAGAACAGGGACCGAGTTATCCGAAGTTTTGTACAGTTCTGCGGCCTTTTGAGCAGCTCTGTCTGTAATTTTTGACTGCCCTCCACCCACCCACACATGTAAATATCTATAGCCACGCAGGGCACCGGCAGCTACAGGACATGTAGTAGAGGTCTGAGTCCCTGATTGGAAACTTAGGGACAGAGAAGTGCTACAGAGTCAGACTTTGTGGTTCTTCAGGGAGGTAAGAGAGCGCTCAATCCTGTGTCCCACACCCCTCGGTGGGGGCTGGGCAGTTCTCCCTAATAAACGTGTATATTTTGACTGTGTAATGAACAGATACTCTCAGAAAGGGGGCTAACAAAGACTTCAAATAGCCTCAGGCCAGTCCAGGTCAGACTCAGGCGGGCTCCTGGCCCGCAGGGCCTGCTCTGCACTGCGTGGGCTCCCCTCTCTCCTGCCCTCTAGCCATCCTCATTCTCACCAAGGGTTCACTGTTCCATAGAAATGTCTCTGTGTGTCTGTTGCCATTTCGTCTTCCAGATCACAGACTCTCCTGACTCCTGTCCGTGCTCCATCCAGCCTCCCTCAAGGTGCGTTCCCTGGTTCCATCCTCTCTCACCAGCAAATGTCTCACCCGCCTTCTTACCCCAGATCCTGCCCCATCCTGTGCCTGCTCTGCTGGGGGAACTTCCTCTCCCCTCTCTGCTACACACTCTCAACTCTGCGCCTCCTTTGCACTCCCTCCTTCTCTCTTCTGGCCCCTCTTTCTTCTACAGCATCGCTTCCCACACCTCCCTTAGATAAATCCTCTGGAATCAGCCTGCCCTCCAGCCCCCACCCCAGCCCTGCACCACATGCCTCTTCTGGCTTCCAGGTCTTTTTCCACAAGGACTTCTCTCGGGCTGTACCCTGTACTGCCTGTAGCCCCTCTGCTGCCATACACAGTGTTTACACGTTGTCATCAGCGAACCCCAACACAGGACGGGTCTGTGTAGAATTTAGGTGATCTCTTCACTTATCTCAGCCCATCTGCATGGGGCAATTTGTCCTTTCCTGCTGCATTTTGAACGATGGCCTGGCAAGGCCATGCCCCATCACACACATCTCACTTCTGACGTGTGTCTGAGCATTTCTCATCCTCCTCATGGGGACCAAGACCTGGCTGTCAGGGTAACCGAGACAGAGCTATGCAGCTTTACAAGGGCAGCAGGACAACTCTAAGTGAGAGCAGAAAAGCCCCGAGGGCAGGGGCTGGGGAGACAGATCTCTCAGCCCTGGCTGATTTTCCACGGAGAGAGCTCCTCATGGAGCTGCGGCTCCCCTGGGAGGGCCTGGGTGAGCCGCTGGCTCTGCTCACAGGACGGAGTGCTCGGAGAGGGTAGGAGCTGGCAGATCGGCATGAGTGGAAACAGGAGTTCTTTGGATGTCTCCCAACTTTTCTGTTTAAGTTTAAAATTGTTTGACATAGTTTGGAACAAAGCACAAGGAAGAGGGTGAGCACCATCCCCGCTTAGTCCCTGATGTTCCGACTGCTGAGAGCAGGAGACAGAGCCTGAGCTGGGGAGTCAGGCCAACCGGGGGCCACAGTCCCACTGTGCACTGACTGGGGGTCTGGGGCTAGCAAAGTGACCTTGCTGAGCCTCAGTGCCCTCGGCTCCAACGTGAGATACCTCACCTATTGAGAGTGGCTCTGTGAGGACCGAATGGGTTATAGTGTCCACGGAGCTCACTTGCTGAGGGGCGTGGCACACAACAGACACAAAAGACCTGTGTGACATTTTCAGTCATGAATCGTTGTGATCCTCAGAAAGCCTTCGATTCTCTGCACCTCGGGAAGAAGGGGAAACAGGAAAGAGGATGGTCCAGTGTGAAAAGGCCCTTACTGACCCGAAAAGGTTGAAGGACAAGTTGTTCATGGTCGATTTCACTATAAAATAGTCAGAGAGAGTCAGGAACACCACAGAGTTTCTGGCTCTTCCTACAAGATGATTTCATGAGTAAAGGCTCCTAACAATCCAACCGCCTCGCCCAGAAGAGAAGTCCGGAAGATCGCCTCCGGGAGAGGAGATGAAAAGTGTGTTTGAATCTCCTTGCTTGAGGAAATGGCGGCCCCAGTGGGATCTTGCTCACCAGGGAGGACTTTTCTGGAGATAATGGATAGGGAAGCTTGTGTGCTTTGCTCATAAATTAGGCCAATACCCCCATCAGGTACACAGGCTGTTGATAGTTTACATGAGATGATACCACCAAGACTAGACACGTGATTGAAACTACAACCTCCACACGGAAGAAATCAATGGTGTTGCACAAAGGACGAAACCCATGGCCATTGGTGGAGGATGAAAAATCAGAATGAGAGCTTTGGCTTCATTGAAAACACAGAAACAGGCAGGATTTGGTGTTCAGGATCTCGTATCCAAATGCTTCAGAAGCGGGTTGGCACCCCAGGGGAAAAACTTTGAGCTTGGGAACCATGTAATACATGTTGCAAATATTGAGCAGACTGCAAACCTGTGTGGAAAGCCAGAGAGTTTGTACAAAACTACTCAGGAAATACAAGTAGCAACATCATTCCATGAGTATGAGAATTCTTAGGATGGAAAAGAGATGTTTTTCACAAATTCCTCCAGGTAACAAAATGATGGCTTAGACTTTTCCATTATCCCTCTATTTCCCCTCTTGAACCTGACTTGATAGGAACAGTCTGCAGTTGTGAGAAATGCCAGGTGACAGGAGTTGAGACTAGAAGAAGAAAATTATCCGACCACAGGATGCTTCTTAAAATTAACTTCAGGAGCACAACTCAAACTAGAAGGAGTCTACAGAACCCATTGGCAGGGATGCACCTCTCAGCCAATGCAGGGTGCTGGATTCAAAGAACATAGACATTACCAGAAAACCGCAAGGAATTTGTGCCATTTACAGTGGGAGTACTCACCCTCTGCATCCAGGGTTTGGAAGATTTCGTGTCTGTCAAACAACAATGAAGAATCACTGTAAGGTCTGTAGGAGGAGGACAGGTCATGTTCAATGGAACAAAAAACAAAATATTTATTCACGGCGTCCTTGGGGAATCCATTATCTTTCATATAGAGCAGATTGCTGCTGAGGGTGTTGGGGTACAGATGAGTGAAGATAAAAAAAAAGGCATTAGGAAAGACAAAAACCAAGGGACGGTTTGGATGGGAAGGATGAGAGTGGGATCACCTAAAACAGAATTAAGGCACCCATGAAGAGAGAAAAAGGAAACTTGCCCCGTCTAGGAAGAGAGTGTGGTTGGAAAGTGAACAGGAGAGAGAGGGAGATCATGAGAGAAAAAGAGAAAGAGGGAAAGAAAGAGGAACAAGGACCCAGCAGAGATAGCTTAGAGGATGGAGGAAAAGAAAAGATTATGAGAAAGAGGGAAAAAATGTGATGAGAAAGAGGATTGAGTATACCAGGAGACGAGAGACATGAAAAACGTAAACTCAGAAAAGAAGAAGGGTGGCATGAATAGTATTGCATAAAGTGGGCAGGAACATAAATCAAGCAGACAAAGGGTAAACTGACTCTGGCATGAGGGGAAACTCAGAGAAAGCTGGGCTTTCGGGTGTATTTTATTACGAATTGGGGCATGATGTGGACTTTGGTCACAAATGACTGTCTTGGCCGGGAAATAGCCACCACCGTGGGAACGGCAACCGGGCTGAGGCAGACATGCGTCCTCCGCTGGGTGACAGAACAAAGAGAGAACGGGAGAGTGCACGCCATCCGCTGACAGATGAGCACACCTCCGGCATCTGACTGCACGTGACCACACTGGAGAGAGATCACGGAATTGGCCCATCTGAGGACCACGGTGAGAAACACAGAGCACTCTGGGAAAGGGACACTTGGCGGTTGCGTGCGTGGGGGAAACGGGGATAGTCAGCGCTCGCTGAGTTCCCTCGATCGGAGATGCCCAGATGGCCCCTTCCAATGGAGTCCCGGGATTCTTCCGAGTTACCTGCAACACAGGCCGTCTTGGATGCCCCCGTCGTCCTCCAGATCGGTGTGTTGGCCTGGAAAGAAATTCGCACGGGGCCAGTCACACTAAGCAGATCCCCACTCGACCCTTGGGAATCCAGTGTCCAGTCCCAGCCCAGGGACCTCCACATCCTCAGTGTGACAACGGCAGACGGGAAGAGCAATCTGCCAGGAGACCTCAGGCGGTGTCTCGTGAAAGCGCCGCCGGCCTGGCTTTGCTGAGCCAGCGGGCCGCGTCTCCCCGATTGGGGATGCCCTCAGCCCAGGATGCTCTTCCGAGTCTGAGAAAACAGCCAAAGAGGCGTGGGGTTCACACCTTCTGGGGCACCAGCCTAAGTGCCGCGCTACTCAGCCTTCTCTGCGCGGGGACACTAGTTGTGGAGGCTCGAGTCAAACCTCATCGCCTGAGGGGAGAAGGCCGGCTGCACTCTACAAACCCTGGCATCCAGAGGCATCGTCGCCCCCTGCTCCGCAGAGACACTGGCCACCCTGTGGGCTGGGAGAAGGCCAAGGCCTAGGCTCGCACGCGGGAAACACGGGAGTACGGGAAACGGGACAGGTGGCTAGGGGCGTTCTTCCGAGGACTGCTTCGGAAGAGAGGCCAATGTGACGGAGACGGAGAGTGGGGCCCACAAGAGTGAAGCCCGGGAGGCGTCTCGGAGGCAGATGTCCACAAGGAGGCCAGGCGCACGGGGTGGGCCTGGAATCTGGAGGGACACGCCTCAGGCGTGAAAGTTAGAGCACTGAAGGTGCGAGGAGACATTTCACGCCAGTGGGGATGTTTGACAGACACCTGCCCTGGCGCTACGTGCGGCACAGGGGAGCTGAGTTTGTCCTGCCAGCTTTGGGTCCCGTGATGTGTCACTGGGGCCAGGGGCACCTGGGCGCATCCTGGCAAGAAGGAAGGGAGCGCAGCCCCCCCAAGCGTCTCCCGTCTGTGCTTCCAACTCTGTCCTCCAGCCTGATTCCCTTCAATGTGTCTGTCTGCACAGCCCGAGGGCTGGCATGCCAAGGACACGGACCGCCCAGGGAGTCCAACTGGAGCCTTAGCACCTGCACAGCGGCAATACTCACTGGGGGTGTCTGCCAGGGAGGAGACGGCCAGGCCCTGGAAGCAGAAGACGGCACTGCTCGACTGAGTCCAGCAGGACTCGGACTGGCCGATATCCGTGGCACATGTCCAGGAGTATTCCTCCAGGCACGCTCTCGGGAGCGGAGGCTCGACCGTGGGCGGCACATCCCTGCCGAGCCTGTGGGCGGAGGGAGGGCTCAAGTGGAGACAAGCGGCTTTGGGAAACACACATTCCTAGAGCTGCTTTCCCTGGAAGGTGGAAGGGTCTGCTCACAGAAGAGCAATGGGAAGGGCTCAGCCAGGGAGATCACACAATCCTCCTCTGGCTGGGGCCAGGCCGCAGTTGAAGTGGGAACAGGAGAGAGAGCTGGAAAAAGACAGAGACAGAGACAGAGAGGGCCGGGGGGTGGGGCGCTCAGGGAGAGAGACAGAGAGCGCGAGAGAGCGAGCGATCCAGCGTGAGCCGACGAGAGAGAGACAGACACAGACACAGACACAGAGACAGAGACAGAGAGACAGACAGAGAGAGACACAGAGAGAGAGAGGGAGACAGACAGACACACAGACAGAGACAGAGGAGGAGAGAGCGAGCAGAGCTTGCTCAGAGCACCGAGCAGAAAACGAGCTCTTGAGCAAGGAGGACGAGTGCCTCCACTCCACAAGAGTCATCACACACCCACACACTCAGAGGACCCTAAAGGCGGCGTCAACACTCTTGCATCCAGTTGGTGGAAATGCACAGACAGCTGCCAAGTGAACCCTGCCTTGCTCTGGCACCACTGTCGACTCTTAGAAATCTGGAAGCTGCAAGGTCTGCCTCTCTCCCTACTGGGGCATGATGCGGACTTGGGTCACGAATGACCGGCTTGGGAACGGCAACCGGGCAGAGGCAGACATGCGTCCTCCGCTGGGTGACAGAACAAAGAGAGAACGGGAGAGCGCACGCCATCCACTGACAGATGAGCACACCGCCGGCCTCTGACTGCACATGACCACACTGGAGAGAGATCACGGAATTGGCCCATCTGAGGACCACGGTGAGAAACACAGAGCACTCTGGGAAAGGGACACTTGGTGGCTGTCTGCATGGGGAAACGGGGATAGTGAGCACTTCCTGGTGTTCGTATATCTGAGATCATCACATTTCCCCTTCAAATGAAGTCCCTTCTTGTTTCATTGTATAATCCCCATGGCGGTCTCCATTCTATGCTTCTTTCTCTGACTGTTTACAGAACAGGTACATTTTTCTCATCTCACTGCATTTTTGTTGTTTAATGCGGTTAATCATCCCTTTAGTTTTTGCACTGCTAGTTTACTTCCTTCGAGAGACCATCATTAATGTGTAGCAGTTCGATCTGTGTCTCACCCTGATTTTTGTTGCAGGAGAGAATAGACCTTTTCTCTATGTGCATGATTTCCTAAGGGTGTTGCGTTCTCTTGTGTCAGACTTACAGGTCCATAGAGACGAGTGACATTGAAGTTAACAGAGCCTTTTCCTTGTTGGTTGAGTGAATTAAATCATTACAACCTCCACGTTACCTTCTCCTGCCTCTGGCACTTGTGACTTTGTTCCCCTCACTTACTGTTCTTTCTGAGACCATCTCCACATTTTCCCCACCCATTACCGGCACCAGATCATTCATTGTCACCTGTGAGTGAGTGTGCCTTGTGTCTTTTCATCTTCCTTGTCTTCGTTATTCCCTGCAAATAAATTCAGAAATGTCCAGTTAGCTCTTTCCCACTTTAACCTCTATGAACGCAGTGACCTCAACAGCCATGGAGACATAAATATCTATGCAGGAGTCCGTATGGTCTTGAAGTCCTAGCGCATTGTCTTGAAAGCATTGCCCCAGCATGGATTTCTGATTCATCAGGCGGTGTGTCTGTGATCCGCTGGATCACCATCATTGCAGACTCTGCCTGAAATTGGGCAAAAGTTTAAGCTGTCTTTTGTTCCTCATATCACTGGGTACTTGTCCAGCTTCCATCTTGAATTCTGCGACTGCGTGCTCCATTCTGCCACAAATCCTGCCAAAGGCACAGGCCCTATATCCCTTCCCAGCTCTCACAGAGAACCTCGTCCTTTCTCTAAGGAGACAAGAAAGAACCCAAGCCAACACCCCTCATCTGGGGACTTTAAGGGCCCTCCAAGTTGGCTTCTGTGTGTTGTGGAGGGAAATTCTCTCTACGGAAAGGTCTCCAGTCTAAACTCTCTACCACCAAGTTCTACCACATCCAGTACCTTGCCCAACCCCACAGAGCGAGGGGCTTGCTTTGTTCTGAAGTGCATTCATAGACATTCCTACGTTTGAGGACTACAGCTACCGTGAACAGATTATTGGATCCATTTTACTGCTGAGGAGATTGATACGGATGAAGTAAAAATCAATCTCTCACCCAGTGTTAGTACCATCAGCTCTCAGGCTGGAGCCTGGGAATGGCCACCCTTAGTCCAAGGCTCTTTTCACTCAAACAAGCTGCCTCCTGTCACGTCCTCTTTTGTGTCCTCTGACAGTAGGTAGGTGTGGCCTCCTGCCCTAAAGGTCACAGTCCATCAGGAAGGAAGCCGACACTTGCACCACTATGACCTCCACCCTGGGCATATCTGCTCTCTGCGCCCACCTAGCCAGTCCGGGTCCTACCACGGTCCCAAGTGCAACACGCAAACTGGGACAGCTTGTCAAAACATTACGAGGGGAGGTGTGGAGGGTCTTGTGAGCCAGGCACCTTGGAGAATTTCAGTGCAGTGAGGGCCTGTGGCCACCTTACCAGGGCCGAGTATGTGGGCAAGGTGCTTGGCCAGCCTATATCCCTCAGCCAGTTGCTGGCGGAAGGCCTGCCCTTGGTGGTCGTCAGAGCCGTTGTGTGTCAGCAGGTCATTGAGGTGCTGACTCAGCAGGGCCCACACTTCTCGCCCTTCCTGTAACTTGTGCCGCAGATAGGCCAGTTGCTGCTCCTGCTCTTGAATTAGGAGACTGGATTCCCTAAGGTGGGACAGAAGAGAAGACTTGAGAGTCCAAAGGGATGAGTGACAGATTCTAAAGATTTTCAAGATTTCTGTGAGAACTGCCCCCAAGGAGTCCTCAGAGAATTCTGGCCGATGTGTGGTGACTTGCCTGTGGCAAAGAGAAAGAGGAAGGTAAATCACAGGTTTCCTCTGTATCAGAGAGAGCTCCTGTCAGATTCCTGGACATCCTACTCATTGTTTCTGCTGTCAACAAAACCAGGTGTCTTCCTAATCCTGTTTTAAAAACGTGTCTCTTCAGTTAACCCCTTCAGCCATGCCCGCTTCTATGTTGAAATACACATGGTGCATTCTGCAGTGAATGGACACAAAGCCAGACACAGAAATGTGCACGAGCACAGCTGGGTTAGCTGGAAAGAACACGAGAATGACAGGGTCAAGGAGACAGAATTCTTTAGAAAGAAAACACAACAAGCCCTCGTGAGACAGGCGGTGATTGTGATTAAAGGGAAATGAGCGGGTGATGCCACAACACTGTCAACGTACTAAATGCCACCGAATTGTTCACCTCAATTTGTGCAAATTCGTGTTTGGTGATTTTCAGTTCAAAAATTTATAGTTTTGAAAAAACAGAGTAAGTGAGCCTCTGAATAATTTTCCAATTACTTTTCCCTAGTTGCTTTATAAACATTTGAACATAAGTGCCTGCCACGTACATTTCTGCCTTCTCTTGGCCCAAAGTTGCTCCCTGCCCCACTTCAGCTTTTCCCACAGCTACCCACCAGCCTACCCCCACACAGCCCTCCTTACCTGAGCTTCTTGGCTAGCGTTGACTTCTCTGCCAGCTTACCCTCCTCAAAAGGCAGCTTGTCCCCAAGCACAGATTCAATGATGTCTTTGCACTCTCCACACTCTGAAAAAGGACAGAGAGCCCTGCCTCAGTGGAAAGCTGGCCATGCTGCTGTGGTCACTGCCTTCAAGGGAGGAAGCAGGGTCCATGCCCAGTACCAGGCTCCACACTGGGATTTCCGCATCTTATTCCTCAGCCTCCAAACTACTACACAGCATTGGGTTACTCCCCATTTTAGAGCTGAGGAAAGAGAAGCTCCAAGGCACAGAAAGTAACTAGATACATTAACTTCTATTTGACAAAGGCAGAATTCCCATCCCCTGAGACTGACCCTGAGTCGTGGGCCTTAGTCACATTACCAAGCCTCGCAGCCTCTTAAGTGAAACACCAAGCAGGCGCGTGCAGTAGCGATTGCCTGTGTGCTTGGGAAGGCCCGGTGGACTCTACTGACTGTTGGTTCCCTTGAGCTCAGAATTTCAAGGTCAAGTACATCCAAGATAAAGACATTTATATGGATTCAACCCTGTAAAATATTATGCATTTGCCCATAAATTTCTGAAGGAAACGTGCACAGATACTAAGAAAGTTTGTGTTAAATTCAAAGCAATAGAAGGAAGAACTAACAAATAGTGTTGGCCCTGTGACAGGGACTTACAGAAATCATCCATGTGATGCATTGCAACAACTGAAACAAGTAGGTACCATGACAGCACCGGATTAACAGAGGAGGAAACTGAGGCACAGAAAGACACACAGCTTGGATTGGAGCCCAGAAGGACTAGCCCAGAGTCCATGCTCTTCACCACTGCACCGTGTTACATTGACACCCAGGTCTTAAGTGATATCTTTCTTCTTCATCAGCTTCAAAATGTGTTTCCTACAGTTACGCTGTGATTCTAAGGCAGGATGTAAATAAAACTTCGTTTGTCCTTTCCTGAAAGCTCATCTCTTCACTTTTTAAATGGCAGGCTTGGATTTTCTCTGTGTCAGTCATTTTAGTTACTCCCCCCTCAATGGCTTATTGAAAAGCAATTGTAGGAAACGACCCCAATTCAGGCTCCGAGTTGTCAAGATCCTTCTAAACACTCTGCTGTGCACATGCCCTGGTTGTCACGGTTCTTGTCGTCACTACAGCCCAGTCTCACTGAGCAGGCAATCGAGCTTCCAGTTTTGAGGCTGACTGGGGCAGGGAAGGGCCTGCCTCACACACTGGCTTGAGTTTTCCTGGGGCTAGTGGTCTCCCCCACCTACCTCACTTTGTGGCCTCAATTTGGCCACAGGTCTCATAGCCCAGACTCTCAAGGTCACCTGGACCTGTTGGCTGCCCTGCATCCCTGAGGGTTCACCAGCTGAGCGGGAGACACAGGTGGTGGGACAGAGTCTCTGGTTTCCATAGAAACAGCCCCAACCTTACCACAGGGTGTCAAACATCTTCCTCAGACTCAGGAAGAAGAGCCCGTGCCCTGGAAGAGAGGGCTTCCCTCTCACCAGGGCATTCCCTGTCTTGATGGTGTCACTCCTGGATAGCACAGTTTCGGTGAGGAGCATATTCATCTTTAAGCTCCTATAAAGCAGCTACTATCATCTGTTTTCCCACTGTAAGTAGCACAGTGCTTTGCCCATGGGACCTCAGAGAAGCTTGAACTGAGGGAGTTCACTTGTCCCAGACATTTAGGCCCAGAGCGATGCAGGATGTGGTAAAGGACAGAGAGGTTGCTGAGAGAAACAGTGCAGCCCTTTCCTGAGAGGAAGACGCAATTGTGTGGCTGCACCAGCAATCGATGTCTGGGACTCGAATTCTAAAGCCGCCCTATACCACACTGCAAATCTGAAAAAGTTGCTCAACTCTTTGTGCATCAGTTTCTCCATCCCCAGCAAAATGAGGGCAAAATACCTACCTCTGACTTTCCTGGATTGTGGTCAGAATGAAAGTTATTTTGACAAAGGGACCAGAGGCTAAAGTCTGGAGAAATTTTAGTGTCTTAGAGGGCAGACAGGGATCACTCACCCATCTGGGGAGCACGGCCCTGGGAGACTTACTGTGCTTCTGCAGCTCGGTGGCCAGGGAGTAGGCAGCAGCTTCGGATACAAGGAATTCCTCCATGAGGGCTTGGAAGTCCTGCTTGCTTTGTGCCAGCTGTGAACGCAGTTCCTGGTTGGACTCCTGGAGGGTCACCTCTGCCCTCGGATCAGACAAAGCGTGAGGACACACGGCCATGGTGATGTTGGCAGAAGAGGTAGAGTCAGAGACTGGGCAGAGAAACCCAAACATATAATGAGTGAAAAACAAGCAAAGACAAAAAGGTTTCATCAGGCCAGAGGGGTGTTTACACAGGAATCCTTAACTTACCGTTGGGGACAACTAGATCAACACTCTACAACAGCTGAGGGTCCGGAACTGCCAAAACAAGGTTCAAGATGACAGAGCTCAGAGCCACAGGCACCGCCTGCAGCTCAGAGTCAGACAGGAGTGATGGAGAGAGGCCCCAGCGCGCCGGTTAATGGTCTGGCGTTGCAATAACAGAATTGGAAGGTGGAGGTGTCATGGAATCTTAGGAGCCCCTGCCTTCCAGTTGCCTAGGCCCTGCTGCTACCCCAGGCTGCCAGGCCTTTTCTGAAGGCCACTGCTGATGGGCATCACCCCAAAGCAGCTGTCTACTCTCGTGCTGACACTACCGACCTGTCTCTTTCCAGAAAATATCTAAGCATAGTTCTCAGTGCCCATTCCTGTGTGCATCTCAAAACAGAAAGAGAAACCAGTGTCCCAACAAAGTTTGTCTTCTGAAGCACCGTCACGAAGTCACCCCACTTTCTCTCTAAATGTAAACCGATCTTAAGGTTTTCCCATACGTGAAAGATGGCAAACTTTTAGACTCTCATGCTGCTATTCACTGGGCTTTCTCCAGTTTTTTCTACATCCATTAAAAGGGACAAAAGCAGAGTGTAATACTAAGTGAATGAATACTTCGTTAAAAAATTATTCTCTGTCCTGACTCACAATACTCCTCTTGCTGCATCCCTGTGTTGTGTCGACTTCTTGCCCCTCACTAGGGCAGCATGTTGGCTTATCTTCAAACTTAAGTCAGTGTGACATCTCTACCTCCTAAAATCCTTCTCTATGTGTGGGCCGCTTTTGTGGTTGTTACTTTTTAAATGTCTGTAAACACTATCTTTCCTACTTGTTGCTTCCGGATATCCACATATTATGAATTGTAACCCCACAAGAGCTCTTTTTCAGCTCTGAAAATGATCACAGTAGTTTGTGAGTGTATCCCGAATACATGTAGTGCCCATTTCTTTTGCAAACACTTCTCAACCTGATGCTATTTCTTGTCTTCATTCAGTTCACTCACATTTGGAACAGAACAGGGATGCAGAGCAGGTTTTACGGATCATTGCTGGACAGATCCCTTCGAGCTGTCCTCATGCTATTGACCTGCGGTTATATTCCTCTACCAGAACGTGGAATTTCAAGGTCACGGTTCAGGGATGGCCAATCACCCACAGGGGACATGTGCAATGGGGTTCAGAGACAGAGAAGCTGAGGTTGAGAAGAGGAGGACAGGCAGGGAGGGAAAGTTGTACCCTGAATGCCCTTTTCACACTCTTGTCATCTGTTCCCACCTGGGTCTTGTGAAGATGAGACTTGGGAGACCCCCGGTAGCATTGGTCTCTTCAGTTTAGCTGCTCCAGTACTTTGATTTGAGGGTGCGATGCATCTGCCCAAGTACCACAGAGCATTTATGTCAAGGTAAAGGACAGAGGACCGCATCAACCGCTTTTGAAGCTCATCTTCTTTCTACCCTACACCATCCTCCAACCACACTGTGGAAGGATTTGGTGTTTGAGATGCATGTAAAGCTTTAAAGAGATCTCTCTTTTCATGTCAGTTGAACCCGACATTCTTTTCTTTACATCTCAAAGTCTGTGATCTAGTGGACCCAACTGTACTGAACTCGAATGGAGTTGGACTTGCTAACTTTCTGGTGTTTTGTTAGATGGCTAGTATATTTCTAAGATTTTCTTACTTAAATGCCACTGTTGAAGTTTAACGAGTAATAGGATTTATTTCGTAAGGTGACAGACTCAGAGAAGACTGGACTCATCCATGTGCAAAATCTAATTTTCACTTCTATTCAAAGAAGGCCAGAATTTGAAATTAGGGCTCCCACCATTTTCAAGGTGGACTCTCACTTACCTCAGGATATCTTCCCCAAGGGTTCATGTCTCTGCTATAAAATGGATGAAATTAAAATGAAATCAGATGGGCCAGGTCCTCTCCATTCTAGAGGGCTCCAACAGTTTCTCCCCTGCTTTAGAGACTTGACTGAAAATATCCTTGTTGTTCTGCTCTGTCCTGCTTTTGTCTTTTGCATAAAAGTGATACGGTTCAGTGTTTCCTACCCCCAAGTCAATCATTTTAAGATTCACCTGGAGCCAAAGCATCCTGAGTCAAAAGAACAAAGCCGGAGATATCATATTCCCTGATTTCAAAATATACTACAAAGCTATATTAATCAAAACGTCATGATAGTGGCAGGAAAACAGACACACAGATCAATGGAACAGAATGGAGAACACAGAAATAAACCTTCACATCTACGGACAGCTAATTTTCAACAAAAGAGCGGAGACCATACAAAGGAGGAAGGAAAGTCTCTTTGATAAATGGTTCCGGGGAAATTGCACAGCCGTATGCAAAAGAACAAACGTAGACCCTTATCTTACACCACACAGAGAAATGAACTCAAAATGCATTAAAGACTTGAATGTAAGACCTGGAACCACAAACTCCTAGAAGAAAGCAGAGGCAGTACACTCTTTGGCACTGGTCTTAGTAGTACCTTGCTGAATATTATATCTCCTCAGGCTAGGGAAACAAACGAAAAAGTAACCAAATGAGACTACACCAAACAGGAATTCTTAACTTACTGTTGAGGACAACTTGATCAATACCCCACAACACTTGAGAGTCTGTAACTGCCACAACAAGGTTGAAGATCTCAGAGCTCAGAGCCCCAAGCACCACCTGTAGCTCAGAGTCAGACAGGAGTGATGGAGAGAGGACTCAGTGCGCCAGTTAACGATCTGGTGTTGCAATAACACAATTGGAAGGTGGGGGTGTCATGGAATCTGAGGAGCCCCTGCCTTCCAGTTGCCTAGGCCGTGCTGATACCCAAGGCTGCCTGGTCTCTTCCAAAGGCCACCACTGTTGGGGACCACCTTTCAGCCACCACTCCCAATAGCTGTCTGCCCTTCTGCTGATAGCGACCTGTTTCCAAAAAATATCGAAGCATAATTCTCACCGTTCTTTGTTATGTGTGTGTCTAAAAACACCAAGACAAAACTGTTCCCCTTTTATTTCTTGGGATATTAAGCATGGCAAGGGATACCATCAACACAATGAAAAGACCATTACCAACTGGGAGAAGATATTTGCAAATCATAAATCCGATAAGGGGTTAATATGCAAAGTATAGACAGAATTTATACAACTCAACAACAACAAAACAAACAGGAAAAACCCAATTAAAACATGTGCAGAGGATCTTAACAGATAGTTTTCCAAACAAAGTATTCAGGTGGCCAATAGGCACCTGAGAAGACGTTCTACATCACTAATTCCTAGGGAAACGCAAATCAAAACCGTAATGAGATATCACCTCATGGTTGTCGGAATGGCTATCACTAAAAAGAAAATAAGTGTTGGAGAGGATGTAGAGAAAAGGGAACCCTCATATATTACTGTTGGGAATGTAAACTGGGGCAGCCACTATAGAAAATAGTATGGAGATCTCTCAGAAAACGAAAAACAGAACTACCATATAATCCAGGTAGTCCACTTCTGTGTATTTATCCAAAGAACAGAAACTCCCTAATTCCAAAAGATTTATGCACCCCTATTTTCATGGAAGCATTATTCATAACAGCCAAGACTTGCAAGCAACCTAAGTGACCATCAACAGATGAATGGATAAAGACGATGTGATACACACACACACACACACACACACACACACCATGGAGTACTACTCAGCCATAAAAAAGAGGGAATCTTGCCATTTTTGACAACATGGAGGGAACTTGAGAGTATTATGCTAAGCGAAATAAGTCTGATGGAGAAAGTCAAATGCCATAGGATTTCACTCATACATGGAAGATAAAACAACAACAACAACAAATAAACATATAAACACAGAGAATAAATAGCTGTTTCCCAAGGGGAAGGGGGAGGGGAGAGGGCAAAGGGGTAAAGGGGCACATATGTTTGGTGACTGATGACAACCAGACTTCTGGTAGTGAATCTGATGTAGTCGATACAGAAGTTGAAATATAATGATGTACACTAAAATTGATATGATGTTATAAACCAGTATTACTGCAATAAAAATTAATTTAACAGAAAAAGAAAATATATGACAAGCAGAGATGGAATACCTGTTGCGAGAAATTAGAGGTCACAAGGAAATGGTCCTCTGCTGAGGCATACCCTTGCAGCGTCTAAATTTCTACCATTAAAAATTCACCTCTTTGGATCAAAACATCCCACAGGAATACCCTGTTAAAATGTTAAGCTTACCTGGAATATTAATTCTATCAGCATCATAGGCTCACAACAAGTGGTAATAAGATCACTGAAAAACCAAGAAGAATGGATTTGACTGAAGACTTATAAGGATACTACAAAGACGAATGTTCTTGGCTCTACTCCTACCAATTTCTGAAGAACCCCAACTCTCTTCAAATTCCTTTGAAATAGCTCTGGGAATTCCCCAAGGGGACTGAAATCTGCATTCCAGAAACTTCTCTGGTCACCAAGGTGCACCTGCCATTTGGTCATCTGGAAGCTGCAGATAACCAGAGGGGCAACTATGCTCTGAGGCCACCAAGGACTCTATGATGAAGATCTCTGCCATCTCCGGTGCCAGCTCTCCTGCCAGTGCCTTCCACTCTGTGGCTGCTGAGGCCTGATGTGGAAGGAATTCCTGTCTCTCCCAGGAAGCCATCTTTCCTCTCAGCCCAAACTCTAGCCCACCATTGCTTCTTATGTCTGGAGCCTTCCTGTATCAACATTTTACAACTTTCCTCACTATTTCATTAGAACTCCTGTGTATCAGAGTTCTGAGTTGAAACATTTGATTTTCATAGATGACTCCATGGTCAAATGTAAAAACAACTTCAACAACCTTGCATTTAGTTTTATTGGGTTTGGGGAATTAAAGCTATTTAAATTCTTTAAAAAAAAAAAAAAAAAAAGCATCACCTGGGAGAGTCAGTACAAATACAAGTCCAGAGTCTTCATCTGTAGTGACTCTGATTCAGTGGGCTGAGGGGGCCTGGAATCTATTGTTAAAGTTGCTCAGATGTACAGTCAGGTTGAGGACCTACTGATAGCATCGACCTTCCTCACAGTTTTGGGGATGAGCATTTCACATACATACTACTTCTAATCCTCACGATCGATCTGTGAGGAGAGCGTGGCCTTTCCCTGGTTTGCGGATGAAGAAACCAAGACACACAGAGGGTCTGAGACTAGCCCAAAGTGCCCTCGCTCTAAGTGCTGGAGCCAGGTGTCAGGTAGAGTGCCCCTCCACCCCAAACCCCCTCCCACATTTTCCAATTCACTCTGTGTCAGGTCTCTCCACGTACATGCTTCCTGCCTATACCTCATTGCTACCAAAAACTTCCTGATTTTAATGTTTCCATCCGATATATTTCCATCTGACATATTTCACAACAGGCTAGCAGCATCCTATCCTGGCCACTGACTATTAACTTGGGAAACGCTGCTAATGAAAATATAGGGTATGGGAATATGCAAAGACATTGCTTTACGATGATGATGTAATTTTCATGCTATAAAATTCTCCATTTTGTGTACAATTCAGTGACTTTTTGGTCTATTTGCAGGGTTGTGAAACCATCACCACCATCTCATTCTGGAGTATTTTCTTTACCTCACAAACGAAACTCGTCCCTATTGGCAGTCACTTCCTATTCCTCACCTTCTTCCAGCCCTTGGCAATTGCTAACCTACTTTCTCCCCGTATGGATTTGCCTACTCTGGACATCTATTCTCAATGGAATCATAAAACACGTTGCCTTTGGTGTTTCTTCACTTGCCATAATGTTGCCAAGGTTCATCCACATTTTGGCAGGTATCTGTACTTTATTCTTTCTATCCTTGAATAAGACTTCATTTTATGACTATACTCCATTTTGTGCATTCTTCAGCTGAGGGCATTTGGGTTGTTTCCACTTTTACTACTATGAGTAATGCTGCTGTGAATATTCATGTACAAGTTTGTTTGTGACCGTGGGTTTTCAATTCTCTTGCTATGTACCCAGGAGTAGAATTGCTACATCTATGTCAACACTGTATGTAACTTTGAGGAACTGACATGCCGTTTTCCAAAGCGTTTGCGCCTTTTTACATTTCCACTAGCAATGCATGAGGATTTCAATTACTCCACATCCTCCTCCACACTTGTGGTTGCCCATCTTTTAATTACAGCCACACTAGTGGATGTGAAGTGGTATCTCATTGTGGATTTCAGTTCTATTTTCTTAATGATCAATGATGTTAAACATCTTTTCATGAGCTTCTTGGCCATTTGTACATCGTCTATGGAGAAATGTCCATTCAAATCCTTTTCCCATTGATAAATTGGATTGTCTTTTTATTATTGACTTGTAAGAGTCAATACTAGACACATGTCAGATATCTGTTTTGCAACGGTTTTTTCTGATTCTGTGTGTTGTCTTTTCACTTTCTTATTAGCATCCTTTGAAGCACAAAAGATTTCAGTTTTGATGAAATCCAATTTATCTATTTATTCATTGACTGTTCTTGCTTTAGCTGTCACATCTAAGCTATCCTTATCTAATCAAAGACTACAAAGATTTACACCTATGCTTTCTTCGCCACATTGCTTTGAATAAGAACTTTCCTGGGTTAGGGTACAGGGATATTTTTGAATTTTGAGTCCTATAAATTGATATGGATCCCTCCTGACCGATATTCACAGGTCTGCCAGTCACTTCAAAGGAACATCCCTGTGCCGTTGCAGAGATCTGGGAAATCGTATTTATGACTATCCTGGCTTTGACTCAGGTGAGAGTCCTGGTCACGTGCTTCAGTTTCTCCTTGACCTCTCCTGGTTTCAAAATTTGTTCAATATCTTTGGAGTTGAAGAACTGATTGAGTGTCTTTCTGAGGAACACTCAAGGGTCCAGGTTATTCTGAACCTAGTGGACTTCCTCATTCCGCTCCAGACAGAGAAGACTGTGGGGGTTGGATAGGGTCTAGACTTCCATCTCTGGTCTTAGAGAGAAACTAGCTTTGCTTCTGGGTTTGGGGATGGCTGTTGAAAAGACTCTTGCCCCCCTCTAATTCTTTGTACTATATCCATGACTGCTTTCTAGAAATGGTGATAAAATACTTATTTTAGAACATGTTGTCTGTTCTCTGCCAATTGCTTTCTGTCTACACATTTAAAGTGGGTAAAGGAGGACTCAGAGACAAATTTGTTCTTAGCATCTATTATTGTCCAAGTGACCATATTTAATCCTATGCCCTATCTTATTAGCCAGGTTTTATCCTTTTCCTTTTGAGAAAAAAAGCTCAAAAAGGTTAAAAAATACTCCAAGGTCACAGTCTAGTGAGGAGAGGAGTGAGCGTTAGAAACCAGTTTCGTTTGACCTTCAAATTTTCATCCACCGTGAGTGTCTTGGTGTTATGTCTAAGATTTCTTTGCTTATTCCTTGTTCATGAGAATATTTCCATTTTTCCTTCAAAACCTTTATAATTTTAACTTTCACATCTCCAATTAACTCAATGTGTGGTAGAAGGTGGTTGTGAATATTAATTTATTTCTAAATAAATACTCATTCATTCTAGAGCTTTTTACCAAAAACATCTTTTATTATCCCAGTGAAGTGTATTGGTGACCTTATTTTAAAAAATCAAATAATTGTATATGTGGGAGTCAATTTCTTACACTCTGGTCTTTCACATGATACATTTGTGTGGCGTCTACTTCCACCAATACTATAGTGTGGTAATTACTGTAGCTTTAAAGTGAGTTTTGAAATCTAGTAGAGTGTGTCCTCTAATTCTTTTGAAATCTAGTAAAGTGTGTCTCCAGTTAATTCTTCTTCAAGGTTGTCTTGGCTATTACAGGTACTTTGATTTCCATATACATTTTAGAAATAGCTGGTAAATTCCCTACCAATGCCTGCTACAATATTAACTGGAACAATCTTGATTTGACATTCTTACTATTTGGAATCTTCCAATCTATGAAATTGATATAATTTTTCGATTTATCTGGTGTTCTTTAATTTCTCTCAAAAACAGTTTTCAGGGATCTTCACTATATGTGTTCTTAGGCATTTAATGACTGTGAATGTGTGAATGTTAATCTCTATTGTGTTTTATTGAATTTCATTTTCTAAATACTCAGTGCTAATGTGGAGAAATACAGTACATTGCTATATGAATGCCATTGAGGTACAACTTAGGTACAATAGACCGCACCACTTTAAAGTACACAATTCGGTGCATTTCAGCAGCCGTAAACACTAATGAAACTACTGCCCCAATCGAGGTGCAGGGCATTTCCATTATCTCACAGCATTCCTTTGTCCCTTTGCAGTCCGTCACCCCCTCAACCCTCAGCTCCAGGCAACCACTGTCCTTACAGATGGCTTGACACTTTAACTACTTTATGTAAATGGAACCATACCTGTATTCTTTCATGTCTGCGTTCCTTCATGTAGCATAATGACTTTAAAATCCATCCATTTGTATGGAAACGAATGGAAACATTTTGGTGGTGAACACGATGTAGTATATACAGAAGTCAAGTTATAGTGATGTATACCTGAAATCTATAAAATGTGATAAAACCAAAGTTACATCAACAAAAAATGAAAAATAAGAAATAATAAGAAAAAGACAGATTAAATTGCCTCTTTATTTCTCCAGCTGGCCAGGACACAGTCACTAGCTGTGACATCAGCAGTTTCCTCTGGAGACTTTGGCAGTGTTGAGGGCTTGGAGCCAACATGGAGTCCAAGCATTGGTTCTGAGAAGCTGCAATCTGGCTGAGGTTCAGGGTCGTGGGTCAGGACAGGTCATCCAGCTGTCAGAAAAAGCAGAAGGGGTTCCAGGAAAACCACTGAGGTCAGCTCTGGGTAGCACTGGCCACTTCCTCCAAGGAATCCACCACCACTACACTTCTCAAGACTTCCTGGTACTAGACCGAGAGCTCCGGGAAGTTGGGATAATTTTGATTCATCTCTGCGTTCATGACCCCTAGCACCGACTCAAGCACTCGAGGAGGCTCTCAGCAACATTTGTGCAACGGATTGAACAAAAGCGGCTGCAAATCATCAATCATCTCAACAACACTCCTGTCCCCGATGTCCTGTCAGGGATGCTCTGCTTTCTCCCAAGATGGAGCAAATCACCTTGCTTAGGATGGGGTCTGCCCTACACTCTCCATGTCTGAGGACACTCACCTGTGGTGAGCTCTGATGAAGAACGGATTGTCCTGAGGGATTCCTGACAATGGTTCACTCTGTCATTAGGAAGAGATGGCCTTGGCCTACCCTCCCATCATCTGGGCTGCCGCAACTCCCCAGTTGAGGAGACCTAGCATTTTGTTGAAACCATCTGTTCGTGTTCTTCCTCTCACTGCTTTGATTTCCTTAGGGAAATATCACCAATAGGCGAACTCCCAGTCCTTATCACAGCATAAGGAAAATGAGGCACTCAACAAATATTTAAGAGATATTGTGGCTAAAGCTTTATTCAACCATAAATGAAAACAATATTACTACCACTGCTTCAGATGCAAGGGTCCCATTACCCTGGCCCCTCCTGACTTGAGGGCACAACTGCTTAAGGTAAGAATGGACATCTCCAACCCTTCTCCAAACACCATTTATCCCTCTAGGCCCACATTTGCTTGGAGGGCGTCCACTGTGAGGGCAGCTCTGAAGTGCAGGCTGGGGGTCTGGCGAAGAGCCTCGGGGGTCCCACCCTCCTCCTCTTGGAATTGGTGCTCCCCAGCAGGAGAAACCAAACCTGATCCATCCTTGGGTCTCCCTGGCTGTTGCACAGGTTCCCTGTGGAGTAAGTTACTCTCCCAGTCCTCACTGCTCAGCTTAGGTTGCTCCTTGAGGAGTGGAGGATGCTGTACTCATTCTTCAGTGTCCCTTGATTTCTCTGAACTCAACTTGTCCTTATTCTCACCTCCTTTGCCAACCACCTTCTCCACCAGCACCTTAATCTTCTTTGGGTTATCATCATCCTCCAAGCCTGCTGACTTTCTTTCTTCCACCTGCTCCCTCAATTCTGTGTTTTCAAGATGTGGTCTCAGCTCAGGCTCCTACAGGAGACACACAGAGAAGGGACAAAGGCCAGGTCTCACCCGCAGTTCCCAGGGCACATTCCACACACATCTCAGTCTCCCACGCACTCAGAGAAAACTGAACAGGAAGGGACATTGGAGAATTTGACTAACAACCTTATCTTACCGATGGGGAAAGTGAGGCCCGGAGGGAAGAGGGGATTTTCCCACACTCCCTCAACGCTTGACAACAGCAGAGCCCCCACATAAGCCTTGGTCACAAGCTTCCCGTCCAGAGTGCCTGCCACACCCTCCAGGAACCCACGGCTGAATTTCAGGAGCCAATGGATCAAACATGAGGATTTCCACTATTCAAACAAAAACGGCTGAAGAACCTTTCCGGGGACAAATCTTTTACCACAGTTCTTTAGTCCTATTATTAATATTCAGTCAGTTTTCACACCTGGCTGACACCATGGGACCAAGGAACACAGAAATATTAAATAAAATTTATCACAGCCAAAATTAAAATCTATTTATATGATTATCTGTAAAATGTCTGGCTCTCGTGCCGGAAGCTCATCTTCCAGAGAGCGGGCACTCTGTCTACCCATTCGCCCCATCTCCCCCGTGCCTCCACAAGGGCCTGACAGAGAAGCCATTCAGTAAATATTTATCAAATGGGTAAATAACAGTTTCCAAGAATAAGTAACCCTCCCTGATGCCTTCTACTCCAATCACATTTCCACTCAAATCCTATTCCAGGTGTGAGCGGAAGCAATAAAGACACAGCCTGAGGAAAGGCAGTGGAAGATTCAAACACCAGCTCCACCGTGGACCACACATGCTTCAGTGGATGATTTCATTGCCTGCTTTGAGCACGTCTATCCCCTGTACAAGAGAGAAGAATGTATAATGTAAAGTCCAGAAGCTGCATTGACCACTACAGTTTTGGATGATTGAACGTGATATCAAGCAGCAGACAGGGCTCTAACCCCTGGGCACCAGCTGCAGAGCTAAAGAACCCCTACGTCAGAGTCAACGCGGTGCTTGTTCAAAACTTATGGGGACAAGGCCCAAGAAACTACATTTCAGACAAAAATTCCAAGGAGATTCTCATACAAGGAAAAAGCCTCATCATTTAAAAATTTTAAAAAGCCTAGGATGGAGACTCTGAGACTCCCATTGGTAAGAAGAATGACTCAGCTTTGAGCACAGCACGTCCCTTGTCCAAGGTCACCTTTCAATGGGAAACGTCCCCGTGTCCAGGAAGAGTTCCTAAGTGATGTGGGACGCAAAGAGGACTCTGCTTCCCAGTCTGGACTTTTAGCGTCTCCCTTGTCCTTTGATTTTCTCCTCTGCTCTGATCACTGGGGGATGTCAGCCCTCATAGGGGTCATTCTTGATGAAGACCTCTGTTATTTTAGCCTCCTCTTGGAGAAACATATGGCAGAGGTCAGTTCTGGGGCTCCACAGAGCTAGGCTTTCTCCTAAGCCACCTTGGTGAGCTGAAAGATGCCGTGACTGCCAGAAATCATATTAATAAAGAGGGACAGGGATAAACAGGGGATCATGAGGGCAGCCTCTCAGGTGACATAGAACCACAACATGATCAATATCAGACCTACTCAGGTGGGGAGGACATACCGACCAATTCTGTCAGCAGAGAGCGCAGCCACATCATTCTAGAATTCTGATCCACAGAACTGTGAGACAACAAATGTGTGATGTTTCACACCACTCTTTCTGTAATCTGTTAATATGCATCAATAAGGAACTAATTCAGATACTTACCTCTACTCTCCTGACTTTTCAATTTTCAGAAACATGTATGCTAATCCCTACAAAGCAAAAAAATCAAAGACCACAGTAGAAATGGTGTGCTCACTTCAGGTGACTATTCCCAAGCCCTTGTAATGGGAACACACTATGAAGGGGATTTCAGGTACTGGACGAACGTCTCTTTCACATTAGCAAGCAGACCTCTAAAAGAATAAAGAGGGTACAACACTTAACTCCACATAACATTGTCTACAAATCCATCAGCTGTCTCTGTTTCCTACTGCAGATTATGTTTAGCTCCTTGTTCTCCTGAACTCACCAGACAAGGTGTTATAGCAAATGCCAGTTACCAGCATGGGCGAACCAATTCAAGGAGAGCAAGAGAGCCGCCGCTAGAGTAAGTTCCCCAGACAAAGTCCTTTGAATGCAGTCTCCCCACTTATTTGGACTGGGAATACAGAAAAGATCTATTTTTTAAACTCTCATTCTAATGAAAATTCAAATGTCTCTGTTTACCAATTTGTATTTTTCTCAAGCCCCATCGTGGAAACCTCACTTTTCAGAATGACTGAGTTCCCAATTGCTCGAGCCTGGCCTCTCTGTCAAGGGAAGTTAGGTAAGCCCAACCTCAAACCTCTCCTGTGAACCACCCCTCACCCTCAAAATCCAGAACAGCGTGTGAACCCACAGGCAGTAGCATCCAACAAGTAAGAGGGATATGTTTTCACTGCTCTTGGCCCAGATCATCTGAGAGAATACAGCAGTCAGAAAACAGAAGAGCATAGAGAAAAATCATATTGATTTCAGCTTTTCCAGGATGTCAGATAAGTTATGCCAATGAGTGTACTTACTGGGTAAATCTCTCAATAAGGGGTTAATTGTTGGCAAAAATAAGTGATAGGTGTTGGCAAAAATAAATGCTATCCAGTGTTGGCAAGAGGGTGGAGACAAGAATATTCTCCTAAATGATTCGGAATACGAATTGGTAAAGCTTCGCTGCAAGGCCATAGGGGAGGAATAAACAAACATATTTCTAAACTGAGCAATTCTCTTTCCAGGAGTATATACTAGAGAAACACTTACACAGGCGGTGATGGAGATGTATAAATACAGATATACACACGTCCACTGCAGCACTGTTTGTAAAAATAAACACTGGAACCAATTTCATGTTCCTCAGTTGGAGAACCTTGACTCGTCATGCTCCATCCGCACCCTGAAAGGGCCCGCAGCTGTTCAAAAGAACAAGGCAGATCAAAGAAATGCTGATAGGGATGGAAGGTAAGAGCTACTATGTGCTGAGTACTCACTATGTGCCAGGCTCTGGGCTCCATGCTTCACCTGCACGTCTCATGTAAACCTAGGACAAACCATGCAGGAAGAACTCCTATCCGACACATGTTAAAAGGAGAAATTGAGCCACAGACAAGTCAAGAAACTTCGTCAAAGTCACACTGTTACCCAGCCAGGTTTGCCCCTACAGCTTGTGAGACTGGAGTGTTCTGCCTTCTTCTCTATTTTAGGGATTTCCAGTGAGATAGAAGATAGCTTCTGCTGCCCAGCTGCACTGGTCTGACACACAGCCTGACTGTTTAGTTCTCCTGTCGGAAATCACCTCAGACGTAGAACATAAGCCTCACACAAGATTACTCCGAAATCTAGATAAAAACGAGACAAAACAATGCTACCTCATAATTCTGTCCAGGCACAGACAAAGGCAAGGTCACTGTGCAATCTACAAAATCCCAAATATCCTCCTCTTTCCATAGGAAATGACTGTTACCTCTTTACTCCAATCATAGAACTGCCCGTGCGGACCACACTATTCACTAGGGGGCACACTCTGCTTCCTCCCATCCTCCCCAAATCACCCAACCGAAGCCCAAGTCCTTTCATAGGTTAGACCACGAGGTGTGTTTTTTCTGGCTGCAAGGAATAAAAAATGCAACTTGTTCAATAAGACGTGTCTTCCTGATGGTTTAACTTAAGGGTATTGACATCAGGTTTCCAGAAACGAGCAACTGTAAAAACCCAGCCTCAGGAAGAAAGATTATTCACACAGTCTGTAAGAAACGTAGGCTCTGGAACTCCAAAACTTGCTGTTACCCCTAAAACAAAATTCTTTCTACCAAGCCCCTTCAGTAACTAACATGAACCTTGCAAGTTCAAGCAGGATTTTTCCACGTCTGATTTAAAGTACGGAGATTGAGGATAAGGTTAAGAGACAAGCTAGTTAAGAGACAATGTGCAGCCCAAGCAGATCTGAAAAGAACCTGGAATCGGTCAAAACCCAGTATGACCAACTGGGCTTGAACCACCAACTCTTCAGTTAACAGATGAAGGAGCTCATGGATTACCCAGCTGAAGGCAGGCACTGATCCTCTAGACAACGTCTCTCTAGCCCCAAGCTTCCTCAGCCAGGGCTCTTCTGCCTTGGCACACTTGGCCAGCTCCAGAGAAAGAGCCCAAGAATCCTGTGGACATATCTATAGCTACTGTAATGTGATATCATAAGAATTGGAATTTTTTGTTGGTGACAAAGTTACAGTACTCTCATGTACCCACATTCAAAAGGAAGTGATTTCACTCATATGTGGAAGATACAACTAACAAACTCATGGATACAGAGAACAGACTGTTGGTTACCAGAGGGGAAGAGGATGGAGAGAGGGCGAAAAGGGTAAAGGGGCACGTGTGTATGGTAACAGATGGCGACTAGACTTTCGGTGGTGAACACGATGTAGTCTATACAGAAGTCAAAATATGATGATGTATACCTGGAATTTACATGATGTTATAAACTAATGTTACCACAATAAAACAATTAATTGAATTAAGTGTTAATTTCTTAAAGAGATTAATCAAAATAAAGATGTCATTATCCCACTCAATTTAAATAGTGTTCTAGAATGTTTTTCTCTGGATCCTGTAGCAAAGGCCTTTACCTGGTTTTGGTGCCCAGCAGCCGAGGCCAAAGGCATGGAGGACTTGGCATGCTCTGTGGGGTCTCCTGCCACAAAGGTGTGTGGCCCTTCCCTCCCTGCCTCTTCCCACTAAACCGTGGGATGCTGCTCCCAATTCCTTCTCCGTGGTGAGCTTGTGACTGTGGTAACAGCTCTTTGTTCCTGGAAATCCTGTTCCTCAAACCTGGACTTACCAGACCCGCCTTTTGCGAGTAGCTTTCTTCCCCTTTTAGTCCCTTAAAATTTTTGCTCTGATCTCTAGCATACGTACTCGGCATGATCCTGCAAATCTTTGTTGTTGTTGTTCTTACGCTCCTATTGTGCTTTTCATTTTCAAGAGCTCTTTTTCAAAGTTTATCTCTGGATGAAGAGAAAACAACAGACAGGAGGCCTTACCTTCCACAGGAAGCCTAAACCTGGAGGGTGAGGACGTCACTTCCTGTTATGTCTGCTGACCGCCATTGGCTGGGAAGGTGGAGTGGGCGGGGAAGTTGTGGGCAGGGGGCGGGGCATGGGCCGGAAGGAAAGTAATGCCAGCGCTGTCCTGCGTGGGGCGTGTCTCATGCGGATGACGCGGCTCCGGGGGCAGCTGTTTAGACATCCGTTACTCCTGCTCTAGGAGACTTCCTGAGCCACTGGGACCGAGTCAAGGACTGTTGCATGAATTTGAGTGCAAGTTCTGTGTAGAGGAGCTCTGGGGGGCTACAGGGGGCAGGGCGGTGGGGGTGGTTCTAGAGAAGGTGAGTGGACGGCGTAAGGAATGTAAGGGTATGCCAGGGCAGTGGAAAGCAATTTTTCAAATTCCCCAGATATCCCCCAAATGGCTGTGCTTCCTCAGGGTAAGGTGGTTCGATTATCCCTCATATTTTCTTCTCTCTGCCATTTTCCTGACTCTACCAAATTGGCTTTGTAATATGTGGTGGGGAGTTAAGGTGTATGGGTTTTATTCTATTTGGGAGTCCAGGAGAGCTGCCTTGATCCCGAGCTTCTAGCTCCGTTTTCTACTTTTTGGGTCTTCCCCATCTGTTCTTCCTTCCTTTCAAATTTACCACTCTAGCTCTTCCGCTGACTCCCTGCTGTGGACAGTGAGGTTCTCTCCCATATATTGCGTAAAGCCTGCCACAGACTCTAAAGAACAGCCTTGGCCAGGTCCATTGTCTCCACTGTCTGCTGCTTTGCTACTGTTGGCATCAGCTATTGTTTTTTCCTTTGTTGTTGCTCTGAGAGCGAGTGTGTGTGTGTTTCTCCCATGTGCTTCCACGGAGGGTGAGCTTTTGGGGACACCTGAGAAAGTGGCTGCTGGGAACCTCAGGCCATGTTCTGTAGGTTCTGCCTCTTCTCTGGCTGTATGTTCTTTCCGAGGTTGTTGACTTCTGTTGGAGACCACCATCCCCTCACCTCTGCATTTGGGCATTGCTTGTCTAATGGCTCTGAGATATTTGGAATGCTCTGGCAATCCTGTCCTTGAGGAGCTCTGCCCAACGGGCCCTCATAATACCTGGGGGTAACTGGGAAGTTCCCTTCTCTGCCATGGTTATCACACACACTTCCTGCTTTGAAAGGCTCCTCGAGGTAGGAAAATTCTCTATTCCTACCTCTACCCCAAAAAGCTTGACACTTCATTCCATGGCTCTAGAATGGACTGGGTTCCAAGCTCCTCAGAGATACCATTGTTGGTCCAGGGACGATAGGTCAGGGCTGTGGTTGCCAGCATTGTCTCTGTCAGACATGGCCTCCTCCAGTCCTGGTGCCACCACTGGTCTGGTTGGGACAAGGGGCTACATCCTATGATTTCCTCGTGGGTCACATGGCTGTAATGGTGTCCCACACCTCACAGTGTTGTGCAGATGAAGATAACCCAACTGCTCACTTAGCATAGTTTGCGCTTCCTGGCATGATGTACAGTGACAGAATGATAGTTTTTCTTTAATTGTGTAACACAATATACAGAAGGCTGCATAAAACGTAAATGTATGGCTATAAATTAACATAACCCCCACCTAGATCAATACCTAGAACATACGAGGCTTCCAGAAGCTTCCCACATGCCTCTTCCTGATAACATCTCCCTCCCTGGCCTTAGCAGTAACCTCAACCTTATTTTCATGATGGTTCATTCTTTGTTCACATATTTGATAATTTTGTTTATTACACACTCCTCACAGGTCTGGATTTTAATCTGTAATCATATAGCATATATTCTCTCCTGCCTGGCTTTGTTCACTAAGACTTATGGATTTAACAATCATCAGTGATTCTTCCATTGTGGTTGCTAATGAAATAGACCACAACTTAGTTATCCATTCTATTGATGGTGGACATTTTGGTTGTTTATAGTCTGTGGATCTTTCACACAACAAGGCTATGGTCCTTCTTGTGCAGGTGTCCTGGGCATGGTAGATTACACAACAAAAATTCTGGGGTCCTGTGTTATGCCTATCCAAGACTTCTGAGGAAAAAAAGAAAAAAGAAAAGAAAATGTATAAAGCAAAGCATGCAGATTATCCAATTCATATGAATGGAATAAAACAAAACTGAATGCAGGTGATGTATTGGATATACAGATGGAAGGTTACATGTTAAAGTACTCATCAGTGTGTTTTCTGTGTCCCTTCTCCCCGCTCATTCAATGTTGACGTCTTCACAAATCCAACTGGAAAGAGCCGGGATGGCTGGATTCAGTTCAGCAGGGGGACCCATGACTCCACGAGGAGACCTGGCCCACACTTCCTTTTCTCCTGGGAGGTGTTTATGCTTTGGACTCTGCAGAACCACAAGACAAAGATTGGCACGTAAAGGCCTGGAGAGCCAGTGGTTGGGAGGGGACAGTCCTGCTCTGGGTGAAGGACTTGGGCCTAAGCTTGGGGAGATTGAGTGGAAAAGGAAAGAATCCTCAGGATCAGGGCGTCGGAGGAGAAATGAGAGGCTGCTCCTGTGGGTAGAAGGGAGGCTGGAGGAGGAGAGACCAGAGTCGGGGGGGGGGGGGTGTGTGCAGAATCTGGTAAGGGGGAGTTCCAGAGAGACAGGGGCTGCCATTCTGGGGCCAGGGAATTGCATCTCCTTGGCATTGAGCTCTCCATGCTCTTCTGCTTCCTCTTCCTTTCGCCCCTCTTCCTCCTCCTCTGCCCCCCTACTCTTCCCACATCCTCCCTCTCCAACCACTCCCCTTCCTCCTCCATCTCATGATGGCACACAGGGGGCCATAGGGATCCACACCAGAGGCACAGGAAAATGTTTGAATTTATTTTAAAATCAGATGAAAAGCAGTGTTCTTTTAGGTCAAAGACAATGTTTTAACATATAATAGTAATAATACATTTTTTTATACCAGCAGTGGTAGAATATACTTTTTAATGGTTTATGCATGAAGGGACCCATGAAGACAAAATGCCCAGGGCCCTCAAAAGTTATAATGTGAATTATGTACTTGGTGTGCATGTATAGTGAATTTTACCTGAAAGTAAAGACCTATACAGCAAACCAAACAAGGGAGAAGGACTCAGCAGTTGTAGTGCAAGTCCTTTGTCCCTGGTGGCTTCTGGCAGGAAGCTTCACTCCTTCAGAGAAGGGATCCTACCGGGAGGGCCCAGAGTAGATTCCTCCATCTGAACCTTTAGCTCTTTCTGTCCAGCTCTGGTTTATTTCTTCTCATCTTACTGCTGGAGGTTCTCAGCACTCAGGGGAGGATTTTTGTTGTTGTTGTTGAGGAAGATTGGCCCTGAGGTTACCTCCATTGCCAATCTTGCTTAAGGAAGATTCACCCTGAGCTTAACATCTGTGCCAGTCTTCCTCTGTTTTGTCTGTGGGATGCTTCCATAGCATGGCCTGATGAGTGATGTGTATGTCTGCACCCAGGATCTGAACCTGTGAACCCCGGGCAGATGAAACGGAGCATGCGAACTTAACCACTACGCCACCAGGCTGGCCCCCAGAATATTTTCTTGGAAGAGCATAGTTACTGCCTCTTCTATGGAAAGAGATGAGGAAGAGATGCATGAGGCATCTTATCAATGACCCAGTTTTCTCCAAATCCATGTGGATGAGCTGAATGGAAAGAATGGTTTAAAGATGTCAGGTCGCTAAAGAGGCCCCATCTGAACATGGCCCCACAAAGGCAGCTCCCAAGAGAAGAGCCAGCCCTACTGCGTGGCGTCTGGATAACTGCTTCCTTAGTCATTTGGGCTCTGGAGATGACTGTGGGTGGGAGGCAAGGAGAGATACAGCCTTGAGGAGGAAGTGGAGGGTCCCAAAGTGGGTGAGAGGAGAAATAAATGAACAACAAACCGATCTATTGAAAACAAAGTTGTTCTTAATAACGCTGGAGGTGAGAGGCTGCGATTCTTCTCTTCTGGTGGAAACAAGGTCCCCTAAAATGAGGTCATCTGTAAGTCAGGAAGCTTTATCAGACCCCATATCACCATAGAGTTGCCGACCACAAAGCACAAGGCTCTCTATGCTGGAGCTCCAAGGCTGCCCTGATCCTCTGTGAAGGTCTCTAAGGAAGGACACCATCCTTCTCAGCGCCTTTCAGCTTTTGGCTTCCCTGTGCTGATCCTTCCAAACACTTTCTCAAATCTGAGAACTTCTCCTTGTTCAGGCTCGGAGGTGCAGAGAAAAACATTGAGGCAGCCACATTTCTCAGCATCTTTCTTTTACTGAGGCATCTATTGAGGTCATGCATCAATCTGTTTCAATTTGAATTGTCCTCGATGCTTTTCCTCAAAGAATTATGTAAAACTTTACTCGTTTTTCTTTTACTCTCTACCAATTTTTCATTCCCTTTGAAGAGTGTGGAGTCAATTTGAGAATATACTTTACTTAGCTTGTGATAAGTTAATTCAACCAAAGATATCTATCCCAACCACCTGTTAGTATTATTCTTAACATATCCCATTATAATGTTGACTCCATTTCCCCCCACAGCAACATTTTGGGTTTCATATAACTTGAAGTGAATTTTGGCATCTCCATCTACTTACTTCAACTTCCGTTGATATGTGTAGTTTGTTTTGATTTTTACTTTCTATAAAAATTGAACTCTGTGTATGTAACTTACGAGTTTAGTTACAATTCCATAGGATCTCTTCTACTTGTCAAAGGCATATAAAAATTTCACATATATCTGCTTGAATACATGTAGTAAATCAGATGATGTAATTGTATCTGCCTTTGGACAAGCAATATATTCAACAGGAGTGGATGGAAGGGCAGTTTCTATGCAACAGTGTTGCCGGATCTGCCTGTGTAGGTACACACCAGTGACCTATGTTTGTGTTTGTCTGAAGTATGTGGGAAAATACAGGCCCTGACCAGGCGCAGAAAGAATATATGCCACACATGTACAGTGGTGTTTAGTGGCACAGCAGCTGGGGTCAGCAAGAGAGGTGTGG